ACGACGGACGACGGATGACGACGGACAAAAGGCGATCGCAATAGGTCACTTGAGACTTTGTCTCAGGTGACCTAAAAATCCCCAGATTTAATCCCAGATAAAATTGATTAAAAAATATCCATAACTTTGCACCAAGTCAAAAGTCTGTCTCTCAGCCAAGTAGTTATGTAGCATTACATCAAAGCCACTACACTATACAGGTATAATTTGAAAAGTGCAAATCATTTCAAACCTAACAAGTGTACTTGTCAATATGTTTTTATGATCATTTTTAATTAATAAAACCAGATCAAAATGATCGCAATCAAAAAATAAGTAGTTTTCTAGTGTTGGAACTCTTTGGACAGAAGGTGTATTTTTACAGTGATGTAGCCTATACCCTTTACTGTACTTTTGTAATAAAACTCAACTCACATCAAGAATCCTGATGTATTCCTTCTCCATAACTCGTATATTGAGGTTCAGCTTTTCTATCTCCTCGTCTTTTTCCCTTGTGATACGTTCCTTTTCATCCTCTGTCTCTCTTAGCTTCTTCTCTGTTTCCTCTGTAATGTAAGAAAAGTCTCTATTATATCAGCAATTTTACCATCCACCATTGTTCAAAATGTTTAGGAATAGTCTGTAACTATATCTTCAATAAGATTCATCAGTTTGCAAATATGTGATATCAAAGTTTTACTTTATATATAAACAATGTACGTATAAAACGTGCTGCAACGTTTCATGACTGACTGGCCCCTTTGTCAAGCTATGACTGATCAGCGAGTGATATAATCCGTCTTTGCGTATTGCAGAGTTATCTGCTCTTGGGAGCAGGTATTGATTGTTACGTCATTGGTTTGTGCGAGAAAATTACGTCATTTTCTCAAAAATTGATGACGTTACTCTCACAATCAATACCTGCTCCCAAGAGAAGATAACTCTGCAATACGCAAAGACAGAATATTGTTTACCAGTCTAATTTATGTGATGAAATCATATGTTTCTAAATCACTTGACCAGGTACATTTCATCTACAGATAGAGAGTGTATACACACTGTATCAAATAGTCTATGACTGGTTACATCAAAATGGTCTTCTCAGTAACAAAATTAATACAGTCTGTTACTGGTTACATCAAAATGGTCTTCACAGTAACAAAATTAATACAGTCTGTGACTGGTTACATCAAAATGGTCTTCACAGTAACAAAATTAATACAGTCTGTTACTGGTTACATCAAAATCGTCTTCACAGTAACAAAATTAATACAGTCTGTGACTGGTTACAGCAAAATGGTCTTCACAGTAACAAAATTAATACAGTCTGTGACTGGTTACAGCAAAATGGTCTTCACAGTAACAAAATCAATACAGTCTGTAACTGGTTACATCAAAATGGTCTTCACAGTAACAAAATTAATACAGTCTGTAACTGGTTACATCAAAATGGTCTTCACAGCAACAAAATTAATACAGTCTGTGACTGGTTACATCAAAATGATCTTCACAGTAACAAAATTAAAACAGTCTGTGACTGGTTACATCAAAATGTAATCTAAATTTTTAGCAAGCATCTACTGACTTACTGAGCAACAAAATGTAATTTTATTTAGATTTATGTAGATTCATTCACTCTTAAACTTCTAAAGAAGAGTTCCAATCATTTAAAATATGGAATTAATAAAGGCAAAGTTTTGAACAGCACTTAGTATCTAGGGGATGGGTGGTATGTATGTGTACAGTGACACTGTAGAGTAACTAATAGAGGCTTAAAATTAAAATGTATGAAAGAGACCTAACCAACTTTCCATTGTATTGTAATAAAAGTAAACACAGAACGAGACACTATGAATAGGAAGAAAGGGCTTTAGCAATGTTGTTATACACTGTAGTTTGATATTGATTTAAATGCTATTAATTCTGTTTATTTAATAAACATTTGAACTTTTAATTGATTTTTTCAGCACTGTATTTTCTTGTAATATTATGCAAAATTATACATGGTGCATTAAGATCCTTGGGGACCATTAAGATCCTTGGGGACCATTAAGATCCTTGGGGACCATTAAGATCCTTGGGGACCATTAAGATCCTTGGGGACCATTTAGTTGCTACTGTTGGACCCCGAGTGTATATATATACTATCCAGGGGGCGTAACTCTTGGTAGTTTAACATCATAGTAATTGTTGTATAGGAAATCAATAGATCAAAGCAAAATCAAAGACGATTTACTTTGGTTTTAAAAACTTCATGTACTACAATAATAAATCTGATTTATTTAGTGTATGCATCAATTTGCAGTGAATACAACCAAATTACTGTAATATATATCATTTTCAATATGTTCCATCAGACAGGTGAACTAAGAGATTTGTCTGTCCAGATGACACTGCCACTTTACACCTTTAACAAACGTTCAGACAGTCCTTATTGGTTGAATACTTTGTTAAATTTTAAGCTTAGCAGCTTATCTGTATAAATATATATATTTATATAACAATTAGGATCCCTGTCCCAATGTATTTCATATATACAGTTGTCTCCCCTTACATTCGTTTCGCTTCAGAGGTACCTGTAGCACAGATAGGCCAGGACTTTTCCATTGACAAGGTGAAGTGAAGCCTTCCCTCCCCTCCCCCCAACCCCACCCAAATACACCACCCTAAATTTGACTACCCCAGACTTAATATCTTTATTTTCAAACAGAGTACATCATATTGATGTAAATGAAAGGAGAATTGGTTAGAAATTAAAATTTCAAAAAATGTACTGAAACCGTCTATTTCACTAGTATGGTAAAGTGAAGCCAATGTCCCTATCCCCACCCTAATGTGTTTACCCCAACTTTCATTTTGTTATTGTCATTTACAGAACAACAAATTGATGTGAACTAAAACAGAAATAATTTAGAAAGGTATGAAATAGAAAAATAGGCTGAAACTCTTCATTTAACCATAATGATAATGTGAAACCCTCCTTACTTACCCTAAATTTGTCTTCCCAAGATTTCTAATTTTCTTTTAAGTACAACGATTGTTGTAAAGTTAAGAAGAATTGGTTGAAAAATGTTAAAAAGAAAATAATTCAAATAGAAGAAAATATGCTGAAACTCTTTATTTAACCATAATGATAGTGGGAAGCCCCCCCCCCCCCCTTCCCCCTAACCCTTAATTTGTCTACCCAAGAGTTTGGTTTTGTTGTTTTTATATACAGGACAAAAGAAATAGTTTTAAAAAGTTTTAAAAAGGTAAAATAGAAAATAATACAGTAAAACCCTTCATTTTGAAATTAGGGTCAAGTGAAACCCTACCCCAGACTTGTTTTTTTGTCTTTTTATATACATGTTTTGGACAACGAACTAGTGTAAGCTAAAGAAAACAAAAAGGAATAAAAGTTGATTAGAAAAATGTTCCGGTATCCTGAATGTTTAATTTCACCATTAGGTGAAAATATTGCCATAATGGTGAAATGAACCGCAGTTCATAGTACCATAATGGTAATTTGACCATGGTTCATTTCACCATGCTTCTCAATACCGTGCAACACCCATACTCTTATGACAGGGCTTGTGAATACCATTTATAAATAAATTAGCTGGGGTATGCATAACTTTGCTAAACGTAACACTTGCAGACATTGGATCACATCAATAAAAATGAAATTCAAAAATTCATAATGTCCCTTTTACGAAATGTTTATAAAAATTGATAAGATAATTGAATACTTACTTAATTTGGCCTCTGTCTGCATAAGTTTCATGTCGAGTGTGTGGACCTTCAGCTGGAGTGTGGTCTGCATGCTTTTATAGGCTAGGGCCATTTCTGTTACCATAGAAACACACTTGTTAGTAGGATGCATTATCAAATGCTCATTGAAAATCAAATATAATGAATGACTGGGAGACTTGTGAAATACGTTTGATTTTTAATGGGAAAACATTAACTTAATTCAATCTCTTTAAAATCAAGGATTGGAAATTTTGATTAGAAAAGTAAGTATAGGTATAAAGATGTGGTCCACTGTGCAGTCAAAACTGACAAAACTGGATAAAATCCTGCACTCTTTCCATATTAAGCTGATATTTGTATCATGAAACGTATAAGCATGTACCGCAATAGGCATCATATTATGATCGAGGTATGTGTATCGTTGCAGCCCTAGTATGTATATATCCTACAATAAGCCATGGGGGCCAGTGTATCGTTACAGCCCTATTATGTATATATCCTATAATAAGCCAAGGGGCCAGTGTATCGTTGCAGCCCTAGTATGTATATATCCTACAATAAGCCAAGGGGGCCAGTGTATCGATGCAGCCCTAGTATGTATATATCCTACAATGACCCAAGGGGGCCAGTGTATCGATGCAGCCCTAGTATGGATATATCCTACAATAAGCCAAGGGGGCCAGTGTATCGTTGCAGCCCTTGTATGTATATATCCTACAATAAGATAAGGGGGCCAGTGTATCGATGCAGCCCTAGTATGTATATATCCTACAATAAGCCAAGGGGGCCACCACATACTTTCTTATTACAGAGAATTGACTTATAACATTACATGACAATGAAAGTGCATTTGTTTGCAGTAATTTCCACGAAACTGTCATAGATATGGATGGGCTTATTAACAGGCATGGGCCTATTGGTATATAAAAACAGCATTTATACATTAATGTCATCCTAAAACAATCAGGACAAATGTGATAACTGAAAAGCAATGGTGGGCGGCAGGGACTCGAGCGATGATAAAAGTGTTTTATGTGTGACTGAATGATCAACAAAACCTTTTAGTGTGTCAGTCTTTAAACAGCATTATTCTACTTGTGTCAGTTTACCTAGCTGTATAAGTGTGTACCACCATGAATTATTTTTTTATCAATATGTAGAAACTTTGAAAATGAGTCTTTACTTCATTAAGAAGGAGTGTATAAACACTGGACATTGAGAAGGTCTGCTGTTGATGTAATACCTGAATTGATGGCCTTCTGGTCCTCTTTATGTTCCTCCATGTCCTTCTGTGCGTCAGCCATTCGAGATTTCATCATGTTACCCATAGATTGTGATTTCCTTGCTATCTCCTTGCGGATCGCTGTGAAAGATTAATACGAGTTTACTAAGCTATACTTTATTATATGTTTTGTTCCACTGATCTTCATATGATTTATAAATCTTATGTTTGGAAGCTTTAAAATATGAATAGTTTATGAAGTCATTTTAATAATGGAATTTGGTGTATTTTCAACTTTGTGTGCATGAGTACATTTTCTTTGCCATATACAATTTTTTAGGGCTGTGATAGGATGTTGGCACTGTTATATCAAATTGTCGATTAGGGGCAGATTGACTCTAGTAAAAAAAAACTCGTTGTTAATGCTGTTGCTGTGTCACTTTAAAAGTACTGTACAACAAATCTTTATGAAATAAAGTAAGAGCCATGAAAGGTAACCTGTGTCAGCAGCAGGGGAGAAGACTGTGTCCTGGAACGAACAGGTACAATGACGCCCGTGTGATAGAATTTAAAAGTTACAATAACATAAGCGTTAAGTAATTATCTGCATATGATATCAAAGCACAGTCAGCTTAGTTTTATAAATAGTTATTCTGTTGTAAACTTTAGGTCATAAAAATGTCAAAAAATGTCGTCAAGTCCACAAAACTTTCTCAAACTTGATTGAGAGTATGAATTGTACATCTATGTTAAATCCTTTATAGTAGCTATTTTTTTCTAGCTAGACAGGACACTATATCAATTGTACAAATATATTATGATTTACAAGACTTGTCATCTTGACCATGAGAGTTATCCACCCTTTGACCAATAAAAACCATCACAATACATTTTCTTGTAGACATTTTCCCACTGATTATAGTGTGGTAACATTTTCAGTATCAACCAGCAAGATAACAAGTTTACAGTGTAATCATATTTACCGAGATGATCTTTCAACGCCTCTATTTCAGTCATGGTCTTTTTGTACTTGTCTTCCAGTTCTAAGGAGGCATCTGTAAAAAAAAAATACATATCAAATTAGACTTGTTTTTATTACATTACTTCAATGGGTTCTATATCTGACAGGAATAACGGTAAGGTAATGACAACATTTTGGCATGGACTACACAGTGGTAGTGAGAGGAACTGGACTGGGTCGATCATCAGCAACCAGTTAGCTCAATAAGTAGAGCGTCCGTCTAGAGGTTCGGAGGCGAGGAAAGTGGATGTTGGAGGGTTCCGGGTTCGAACCCCGTGCATTTTTCCTCTCCTGTTACAGTATGTTAAAGCTGGTAAAACAGTGGAAGTTTCAAACGAAGGGCTCCGTTCCTTCCACCAATATGACAACCCACCACCAGGCAGTTCTACTCTAACATAATATGTAGGAAGAAACTGTTCCTGTCTCAACAAGTATATATGTATGTATTTGGATAAAACTTGGATTCTTATTCTGATCGACCATTGGATACCTAGGCAGAACCTATCAACTTCTTCTTCCTTTACAAGGATCAGACTCAAAGGTTTGAGTGCACTTGATCCTGGGAGGTGGCATTAAAAATGTTAAAAACAATTATTTTTGTTAATTTGTACTATAAGATAAAAACAGAAATCACTTTATGGAAGGTTGAAACTAGCCAGGGCAGACCTGAAAGAGTTCAGGTTTGGCTCCTGTGCTAGGGATGATGGTAGCGAATTCCAGTTAACAATGCTTACCATGCTTCCTGGTCACAGTTACCAACACTGTCCTACTATTGACTGAGGACTATGTAGAATTAACGGCTAATCATTGTTGATAAACAATCAGTGTAGGTTATGTTGTGTAGGAACAATTATTGCTATTCAATATTTTGACTTATACTTCGTTTATTCCCTTAACTAATCTTCGTGCCTAAAAACAACGCTACTTACAACCATGTTCGGGTATCCCCTTGCCTACCGCATAAAATCTACCCGAAACAAGGGTGGGTAGCAAGTACCACTGTAACGGGAGAGGAAAAGTGCTTGTAACTGAACCGAACTAGGCTGGGATTTGATACCAGGACGCCAAGATCTTACACCCTTTGACCTAGTCTCATATGGTCTAGGCGAGGATTAAGAGAAATGTTTATCATGAATCAAGTTAGTAGAAGAAACATTTTACCATCCTTCTTCTTTTTCTTCCCTTTTCCCTTCCCCTTTTTCTTTTTTGGAGGCATGTTTGTCGATGAACACACGCACACAAGACTATGTATGGTTTGTTGTCAATCACGCCTGCTGGTCGCGCACCGAGGAATCCCTGACTTTTGATTGGATGAAATGTTATATTAAACGAAGGGCCATAACTCGTACACATTTTAGCTGCGCAATAGATATATCTACATACGTCTATATGGGGCAAAGAAGTAATTCCAACAGTCCTTTTTCAAGACACAATGAAAAGGAGCGGATCGCTCCGAAAATTTAACAACCGAAACTTGTCCACACTTTTGGAATTACTTCTTTGCCCCATATAATATTTTAAGTAATTCGTATCCTACGGACATACCTCCATTAGGATCCAGTGTTATATGGGATTTTACCGTCTATATTACTTCTTTGACCCATACATATGTATATATATATTCTCAAACTGAATTTTTAAATTCGAAAAAAACCCAGCAGAAACATATATTGAGAGGTAAATTAATGTGTAAATGGTCAATTAACAGACAATTATACTGAAAACAGTTAGAACCGTAAGTAATAAATTCCTAGAGTATAGAAATAAACAATTACTTAAATTCAATAGAACTAAATTAAATATTAATATATATATATGTGTGTAAGAAATGAATGAGTATAATGGAAATAATGGTAATAACACCATTGAATTAACAAGATAATTGATCAACATCCGTTTTGGAATCTCCATAAATTTAAATATAATGTCTAAATTTATACACCATAAAACCCTTTCATTCTATAAATCGCGCTGTACTTTATGAAACAACCAGCATATGTGTGTGCATTATGATGGAGTATATAACGACAACGAAAAAAGGAAAACTGGAAATGTTTATTGCATAAAACAATTATAGCGGAACTGGAATGGGTCACAGGGACCTGATAATTGGTTACAGCTATATTTGGATATTAAATAAGGTGTTAAGAGTAATTTTACACGTTTTAGGGATTCAGGTTAACTTTCAGTTGATAAAAATGCCACCCCTAGTGATGAGATTATACTCATATAATATCATCATAAGGGTGGCATTTTTACCGAAAATTGATCTAAACCCCTAAAACGAGTAATATTGCCCTGAACACCTTAGTTTAGATCCAATTATACAAAGTAGCTGAAGCAAATTCTCAGGTCCCTGTGGACTGGGTCGCCGGCGGCCAGGTAGCTCAATAGGTTAGAGCGTCCGTCTAGAGTTTGGAGGGTCCCGGGTTCGAATCCCGGTTAGCCGTGCATTTTCCCTCTCCTTCTACACAATTAACGAAGCGGCGGACAGATACGTTTATGAATCACAAGTTGTTGATCATCAAAATGAAGTGTGCTGACTTCCAGGGTGACGTGCCGTGTACTTCCGAGTCCATACTTACACATTAACAGATATGCGTCGTTACGCAGGTTGGGGGGCGAGGAAAGTGAGGGACAGGATGCGCTGTGTTATACCACTTCACAATTTCTTCCTTGTACACACAATACTATTTCACGTATAGTTATACCTCGTAACGGACTAAACTCTAAAGTTTGATTGTCCACCAGGTATCGAGCTTTAAGATACTGTGCTAGCACGCACGCAGCATTCTACGTGGAAATGTTTCATTCAATATTCGCCTTCGTATTTGTCGTCTCGTTCTGGAGAGTATTACACGGACAGCAACTTCCGTCTGATCGCCGGGCGAGGTTAGAGGCCGCTCTCTTGGAACAGAGTATACTGGAGAACATCAGGTGATACTTTAAATTATCTCATGCAGTTATTTGCAATTTATTTCTAGTTCACAAAACGTACATTTTTTCTTTGCATGTTGTTTAACTTCTTCGGAAGTCATAAGTTCCTATGAAGACGGATGCCTAGGGTTTTGTTTTTGTTTTTGTACTATTTAACGGCCAGTCGTCAATGTGAGTCATTTGGGTGCCTATAGGGAGACACCGTCGACATATCAGGTAGGGAGGTGAGAAAAACTTATAGATAGATCCCAAGTATTGCCATAAGGATAGCAGGTCTAATTAGGCTTCTTTAGTGTGCTTTAAGCAGAAGATACAGAAGAAACGCCCGATTCTGCATAAATATGGATCCCACATTAGTCGCCTCTTGCGATAACGCGCAGTGGAATTCAGCGGTTTGTAGGTGTTTTACGTCCTATTAACAGCTATGGTCATTTAAGGATGTGCTAGGTTTGGGTGGTGGAGTAAAGCCGGAAATTTCCGGAGAAAAACCACCGACCTGCAACCAGCACCTGGCGACTGCCCCATGTTGGCCTCAAACCCGCGACCCAAGGGTGGAGGGTTAGTGGTAGCAGAATGTCAGACGCCCTATCCACTCGGCCACCGCAGCCCCTTGGCCGAGCGGAACCTGTTGGAATCTTTGGTATATAGTGTGACCTGCCATAAGTCTCCCACGTTACGTCGTTTTATAATTGGTTTCTATGTCAATTTTTCTCCGGAAAATATTCTATTGTTATCCGTGGCTTTGTTGTTGAGATGTCATTTGTCATCCAGATTAAAGTTTACTTTGACGTCATTCCCGTAGACACAATGTTAAATTTGCCGTAGAAATGTTTTTGCCAAGCAACCCATCATTGATAACATTTTTTAAACGGAAAATTATATTAATGCATTATCAAAAGAAGCGCTAGATGATTTGCTGGCTTTGTGCTGAATTTCAACATTTTTTTTACTAAAAAACAAAGAATCCAATAAGGAAATGACGAAACGTTAAAGACTTAAGGCACGTTACTGTATTCAGGATTGGCTATTTAAATTTTGTTGCACGCATGGACTTATGAAAGGGGATTTTTGAAGCAATTTCTTTAGGTTTGTAAATGTAGAGCGTGCATATTTCCATAAAACACGACCCGCTAACTGTTTATGTGCGGTATTTCAACTACAATGTAAACAACCTGTCACCAGCCAATATCAATAAGTCGGCAATCACAGATGATGTCAAACACCAAGTCCATATTATTGAATAGGATAGCAAACAGAGAACAACTAATAAAGGAAGCCAGCTGGATATCCGGCATCTTGTGGGTTATACTAGTACACTAGTTTGATCTTTTGAAGTATATCAAAAATATTGCGCGGGAGCGTAACGGTAAAATTGACCGGCTTTAAAGTCAGCTGTCGCTCCTCTGTAATCGTCAACGGACGGTAATCAGCCTAGCGCTTGGTCAGTTACCATAAACCAATCAAAAAGCTATCGGTGTATTCACCTTTTCTCATAGTATATTTCACTGACGAGGATGACCGCTTTTCTTTCTGTAACATGTATGTACACTGACCATCAGGCTCTTTGATTAGCGTTAAGACTTGCTCAAGTCAATGTCTAGATAGAGAAATAAGTGATAAACATACAGACATGATAGCCAGTCTATCATACATGCTGCCTCCAACTGCTGGGAGATTCTGTTAGTTAAGACAAAGCTTGAAACCTTGGTGATGTTTCTATTTTTTGCGCACTCCCAGTAGTGTCATTTATAAATCAGACATAGATATAATATTGCCGTTTTCTCATCGTTGAACATTTAACTTAGTTCAGGATACCAGCTTCGAGTGAAGATTCTATGAACAATTTTGTCATATTAATACTAATTTTATAAGACAATGTGGCTCAAAGTATATTAAATTGTAATAAACTGGCTAATTTCAATATACAGGGTACCACTAAGGATTGAATATGCCATTCTTGGAATAACTTCTTTTTTTAGTAAAACGCCTAAAATTGGATATGTCAAAGCTGATTGCCCACGAGACCATTTTCTGTTAGAAGTAATTTCTCTATCGCATACCCTTTTTATGTGTTGTTATGTTGTTAATCATTTATCATTTTCGATATTGTCTTTAGGCCACTCGTGAAGCAACTCTGCTCAAGCGAATCCTCCACTGACCACCGGTACTCCAGCCATCGGTCAGAAGTCCAGTCCCTGACCAATCGCGTGGACGCTTTGGAGGAATGGGTTCTGTCACAAAAGATAAGACAACAAAAGGATAACTGCACCACCCGTTTTAGTAAGTATATCATTTATTCTTTGATATATTTCATCAGTAGTGTTGTGGGGTTGTCATGATGTTGAAGCTCTGAGTCATAGTGACAATGCATTCAATATCGTACTTCTGTCACGACGCCAATGTACTTGAGAAGCTGTCTCTATGAAATTGATATGTGTATGCTTATCTCAAGTCCTTTGTTGACTGAAGTATCTCACAATATAAATACACACATATAGACACATATTTTACATTTATGTAATTATATCACAATCGTTGATAACTTTCATACAGTTCTACCGTTATATATATTCTGTACGTACGTTATATACGGTTTGATTAACTCAAATTGAATACATTTCACTACTGGTACATATACTACATAATCAAGTAATAATTACTTCATCTCGAATGTTTTAGAATACAAGAATAAGATTTCCCACTGCTTCAAATCAAGTAGTGAGTTTTTGATATTGTACTATTTCAAGTAATGTTTTAGGACAGATCACACATAATATAAATATACTAAAGAACATTCTTAAAGATAACACATTTTATTTGGCTGGGGCCTGTCCCATTTATAAGACGACTCATTCTCGACACCAGAGGTTACGCTCACTTTCAATATGTCATAGCAAAATTGAAGACACGAACATAGCTGTTCGATTGGTCTCAGGTAAAAAAAAACCTGACCAATCGCTAGGCCGATACCTACAAAGGAGAGACGCCCGACTTCAGAGCCTGTCAATTGTTACCGTCACGTGACCCCGGAATTCTTTTGATGTACATCAGAGGATCGAGCTAGTCTTCTTGTTTCATCAAGAAAGTGGCGCACACTGAGCCTTTAAGTTTGCTCCGACATATTCCAGGGGTGTAGAGAGCGAAAGTGAGCGAAACCCCTGGATACCGAGGATGGGGGTGCAGAGAGCGAAAGTGAGCGTAACCCCTGGATATCGAGGATGGGGGTGCAGAGAGCGAAAGTGAGCGTAACCCCTGGAAATTGAGGATGAAGACGACTCGGTTTAGCAGGTGTGAACAGATGTACATGTGAGCAGTAAATCACTATAAACAGGGAAGGATTAAGAAATTGCGAAAGAGGTCTACTTTGTTTCGGTTATCTAAATCCTGAGGCCACATGCATGGTTGGGTATTGTTTAAAATACCCAATACGGAGACGAAAATATAACGCCATCGCATGGCGTCATGATGGGCATGTTCTACGTAAATTATTGTACATGCTAAACAAATACAAGCTTGGGTTTGGTTTCCAAAGATGAAAATTGATGAAAACTATGGACAAGTTTAAGGGTCGTCAATACGATCTCATAGGGAAACACATCATCGATACCCCAGAGAGCGAAAGTGCGCGCAACTCCTGAGTATCGATGATGAGAGAAATGTAACGAACGTTACCTACTCACTCGGGTTCGACTGATGCTTTCGCTTGCAGATTCCATGGATTTTAAATGAAGTGTGAAATAATAGAGAGGAAACGGAGATTGGTGACAGAAACAACTTAGACAGATATAGATTTATCAAACTGAACAACGCACGTGGCGGCAAGTGGAATTTCCGAATTTACACCAAAATTCGGTGAAATAAAAAGTGAAGTGGCACGGCCTATAATTTGTACGCACTCTACAACCTAGTTAGATACATTGGAACGAATTATAAAGCTCTCCACGAGATAACGATGACACGTGGTGGAGAACAAACGGCTATCACTTCCGCTCAATAGCTAACCCGTTAACCCTCCTATTTTTGCAACATTCCTTCACGTGAGCTAGAGGAGCCTACTAAAAGTCCCAAAACAGAAAGGGCGGAGAATGTTCAGCCACTACCTATACGTGCTATCAACAAACATCTCTCCTCCAAACGGTATGAAAACCGGCATGTCTCCCGAAAAATATATCACAATTTACCTCGAGTTTTCACTACTAAATTAACGCCGGAGTGCAAAAATACTACTCAAAACCTAGCAATGGATGCTCAATAAAAGTTCCCAACCCCGAATTTTGGAAGGTTGGGCGACGTAGAATACTTAATTCATTGGATTACTTAGCTAGACGATACACGCCTTCCCTGTCTGATATCGGGAGCCAAAGTGCTGTATACCAGAAGCCCTCTCGATCATTTCCGGTAGCGGCCGGTATAATTTTAGGGATCCCCGGTCAGGTAATTAAACGGAACGCAACGCCCAAAACCTAAAACCTTGGTGCGTTACAGAAATATGCTGTTTGTTTGTGTGATATGAAGGTCTATGTCTGTGATTATGTTCATTATTGTGCCGTGTTGTTTGGGTTTCAATGCCCCTGTTCTCACCACGACGACATGGAATTACATGCAATCGAACTAGATGTACAGGAACAGAATACGCTTACCCTTTGTGCCTTTAAAGGGTCTCCTCGTAAATCTTTCCTTTTCTTTGTTCATATTTGTCGGATTTTTTTCACGTTGGTGTTTTCTTGTGTGTGTATGTGCGTGTTTTTCTCCACCAAATTGATACGAGTACATTGTAAAACTCACTGTCTTGATTTCAGAAAAGATAGATCCTGCACCAGATGTACATGTTTTTGAGGGTGTATGCTATTATGTTAACAGTTCTAGACAGACATGGAACGACTCACAGGTAATTCACACTAGAATTCATGTATATACTTGGTTATACCTGTCACATTGTGCAAAAACCTTCACAATAAAGGCCGAAATGGATGTTGTTTTTACATACAATCGAATCTATTTTCAGCCCCCTTCTATCGGAAGGTATTTGCTGGTAAAATTAAGACCTGTACCAATATATATGCGAAATTAAAGAGTACGAAACCTATACCCATTCGGCACTCAATGAATAGTCAACTGATTTTACGTAAACTGATTCTATGCTGAAGCTGAAGAAGTAATTTCATTTTCGTTTTTGTTTAGTAACCCCATCCCAAAATAACAGGATTCGATTCCCTAAACTCTTGACTATAAATCAGGAAGCTTATCAAAATACAACTTCATTATACTACATGTATTAACAAGTAATTGTGCTCTAATTTAATCGACAGACTACATGTCAGCTGGCTGGGGCAAACCTGGTGACGTTGGCGAGCAAGCAGGTCCAGGACTTCATTCTAGGTCTGATGCAAAATAATTCGGGTAAGTGACGAAAATAGAGATATAACATTCCTTTTCCGCAAGCAATGTATGAAACATTGTCCAAGAGAAAATAGATTTACTATCCTCTGCTAAACCTTCAGCGTTTCGGGAAACAGGCCTTTTTCAGGATAATGTGACCGGTTGGAATGCTGTGCTGGGTGCTTTCGACATTGTATTTAAGTGAGATAGCTCTATAAAGTCGGCATCAGATCCGCGCTATCACAAGGAGGCAAGGACAACAACACACACTGTCTCCTGTATACACACATGCAGACACGATACACTACACACATAGAGGCACGTCCTTAAATGAACTTAGCTGTTAATAGGACGCTAACCCCTATACTATAGTCTAATTATACGTGAATTCCGCCATAAAAGAAAGGTTACGATGAAGCCCCTTCCCCTGCCGACGACCCCACATTAGTGAAAACGAGCAACGCTTTTAAGTATACACATTTTGGATTGGAATACCTCTCCTATTCATTCAAATAGTTTTTAATTTATTAAAACGTATCTCTACTTTCATGTCTCCCCCTGAATAGATTCCTCTACATCATTATCTCCGTAGAAAGTACATGTACATATTTCCAACTTCAGTATCTCTGTTTGAAGCAAATATTACAAGTTTCCGACTTCAGTATCACTGTTTGAAGCAAATGTTACCAGTTTACGACTTCAGTATCTCTGTTTGAAGCTCATGTTACAGGTTTACGACTTCAGAATCTCTGTTTGAAGCTCATGCTACAGGTTTACGACTTCAGTATCTCTGTTGGATGCTCATGTTGCAGGTTTACGACTTCAGTACCTTTGTTTGAAGCATATGCTACAAGTTTCCTTCTTCAATATCTCTGTTTGAACAAATATCACAAGTTTTCGACTTCAGTTTCTCTGTTTGAAGAAAATGTTACCAGTTTATGACTTCAGTATCACTGTTTGAAGCACATGCTACATGTTTTCGACTTCAGTATCTCTGTGTGAAAATCATGTTACAAGTTTCCTTCCTCAATATCTCAATATTTAGAAAACGGAATATCAACAAAACAACGTGCTGGTTGTCAACAAAAAGTGAGTTTATCACAGTGACGCAAAATGATAGGATAAAAAAACCATACAAGTATTTTCATAAGAATGTTTTAATTGATATTTTGCACGAAAAAAAAATAGAAGAAAAAAAATTGAATCCATACTGTAACATTTTCATTTTTGATTACTATCTCACAGCTATTTTTTATTCATAAAAGAAAATCTGCTGTTTTACAAATCTGCACGATTTAACAAAAAAATCGATAGAGTTTGATGTGCTGAACTGATTCAATTTCTAATTGAGGGAACAATGCATTTTCTCTATTGCTAAAACTATACATAAAGCAGAGACATATAAAGCATATAGTCAGTAAGTGTCTGAAACAAATGTATTCATCCATAATATATATATGATATATAGATCTATTGACTCTCTTGGCTGCAATGATGGTTATTGAAAAATGACAAAAATTGTGATTTCGCATATTCTTCTTATTTTTAATAGAAACTTCATATAAATCCAGTTTTTATAGCATTGAACAAATTAATTTTTGCACATAAAAAACACAAAAATTGTAAAATACTATTCATAAATTCTCTCTGGATACAATATTTATAAATCATTGAAGTAAAGTTTGAAGTAATTCGTAAAGATATATATATATATATATATATATGTATATCTTTTCGTGGATATCAGATAACTATGCTATTATACATGATTAACAATATCCATCCTAATATGTTTTATTTCAATGTCTTTGTAGAATATGCTGCACTTGATTTTTGCAATGGATTCAAGAGGTGCAATTTTAAATACTTATATAGTCTAATGAACCTTTCGCATTCTCACATTAATGTCATGTCATCATACGCCTAGGCGGAAAACTTCAAGATATCAAACATCTTGTCAGCCAAAAAGAAATCAAGAAAGGAAACTTAACTGTAATATACACTGTATAGCTATACATGTAGTTCTGATTTAGTAATTTAACACATCACTCAGTGCTTGAAAGTTTACAGTACAACATGGCTCCGCCCTCACTTACGGCCGTGCCGTAAAACATAGTAATAAGAGCGTGGCTCTCGGGCGCCGAAGGCGTCCGAGCGAAGCTCTTTAAGGACTTTCCACCCTTCGTAATACACATGTTTTTCTTGTCGTATTTTCGTAACATGTTGTAGATATTTTATGATAAATCAAATATTTGTAGGGTTGATTAGCAATGTTTTTTTTCATTATTTTATTGTTGCAATAGTTTTGAACAACGCCACACACTCAAAAAATGTGAAAGTGTTGAATTTGACAACAAATCGATTTTTCGGTATTTTTTACAAAAAAATCCCCAGTTTATCGGAATGCTTAGATTTCATAAAATCATCTCTACATAGTGACATAACCATTATGTGAAACTTTCATTGAATTCTGCTGGCTAATTGCGAAAAGGGGAGCCTCCTTAATGGTAACACATGTGTCCGTAAACAGAGTTGCTTCCCATTTCTACACCTTACCTTTAACAAAATTCGTCCGGAAGTAGACGTCCAGTGGGGAAACAGGAAGTGTATCCTTGAAGCAAAGACAATTGTGTTTCAACCCATACATGAACATCTTCATATAGTGAAAACAACAACCATGTTTTATTACTTATTCATTTAAGTAAAAACTAATATGCATTCTGAGTGAAAAAATCTATTACATAAATTTTGATACTAGCAGGCATGAGACGTCGTGCAGAGATTATCTTACTATGACGTCACAAGCACGTCACACTCCATCGGCCTTCATCGGTTATTTCCGGAAGGATGAAAAATAACCGGGAAATCTTGGAACTGATAGGCGTTGCATTTATCTCTTTGTCGATGCTTCATGACTTTTTAATTTCAGTTTTTGCCACAGGCACAAAACGTAAAAACGCGGATGTTTTCTGAAGATCCTTTTTGTCATCAACCATGTTCTGTAAAAAAAATTACCGGGGGATATTTTTAAAAAGAGCCGCATTAAACCAATAAGTCAACGTGAACATTTATTTTTCATCGTCTAAAATTTCATCAGCTTTTGATTTCGATTTGTTGTGTATATGAACCAAATAATTAACATTTTTGAAAGCGTTTATAGTTTTTTCATAATGTATGTAAGCATCAACACTCATAAAAGAAACAATGGATAATTCATTTATGTCGAAATCAACAATAATTGTCCAGACAACGAACCTGAGTTCAACGCCATTTTTCAGCAACGTATCACTTTTTCACAACGCATGCCGATTTATAACTAGTTATAAAGACATAAACTGTTTGATTTTATTTGGCATCATTACCTGGCAAACATCAGTGACAGTTACAAAATTTGAAATTCAATCCGGTGTTTCAGGATAGAACAGGAATTCTAAATATCAATATAACGACAATCTCAGTTACATCATAGTATTACAATGTTTTCTTTTTTAATTTCATTTTTTTAACTAACATCTCTATACATTTACTTTTATAGACTTATCGTCAAATATATAATATGCACTTTTTTCTATAGCAATTACAAAACAGTTTTTCCACAACTTATTTCAATCATTCTTTTTGTGACCTGACGGAAGCACGCAGAGGATTTAATTCTTAATGTGGGAAGAAGCCGGAGTATCCAGAGAAAACCCGCGTAAAATTACATACTGGAAACCGGGACAAGTTCGGCCACCCCTGATATTTTTGTTTTTAGCTAATATTTACAACTTTAAAGATCATAGCAGTTTAGTTGGCTAGTTGGCTGGGCATTCACACGAAAACATGGCGAGGAAAACTCTAATTTAAAATTACTAAACAGGAGAAAATTACGTTTGAGAGGGTAGAACGATATGATGATCTCGCTTTTAGTTATGCGAACTTTCTGTAAACGGAATTGCTATTTTTTTACGGTCAAACGTGTAACACATATACATAAAAGCCAAGCCAAGCACTCACTACCATATTGCTGTACGATAAGAATTTATTGAAATATCAATTTGGGCCCGGACAGTTTCGGCCAATGATACCATGGCAAGTTCGAATTTGCCCCGATCTGCCCTATTGTTATGTCGGTCTTAATATCATTAGAGTTTATGTTTTATTGTTATCCCTCTACTAGCCGACTTTAAATGAATTTTATCTTGCCTCATTCTGAAAGCAGTATTATCTCATTCTAAATCAAGTAAATATCAGAGATCAACAAAAGCTTCGCTCTTTTAAAGCTTTGCCTTTACATGTGCAGAACATTCTAATTCAAAGGTAAGAATTAACCTTCCTATTCTGGATGTCTTCATTGTCTGCGAAACCCGTCAAAATGCGACTTGTATGAACCAAACGACAACTACAAGGTAGTAGCTATCGTACAAATTGATGACGTCGCTGTAACGATGGGAGTGGTTGATAACACTGACGTCAAGGAAACCGTGATCATGTGACCAGATAATGAAGACTGCAGTTACTGTTCAGTAACAGTAGGCTGACTTTCCACATAGTTAATGGAAAATGGGATGGGCATGTGTAAATATAAGTATTTGAAATCTTTGATAAATGTTATGACGTCATTAAGCTTTGACTAACATCTCATTATTTCGTTGTTTACATTATTTAGGTGAGCGATTGACTAGCGTGTGGGTGGGCGCCAAACAGCTGTGGAGCAGTGACGATGACGACACTGTCGATGATTTTTCCGGACGGGGAACAGATCAACCTGACCTAGGATCTCTTTGGGGCTGTCCCGTAATTACTCTACACGACCTGACCTCGCATCATGTAAACTGTATTCATAACCTACCTCTTGCCTGCGAACTGTGAACAGTGAAGTTAGTTATCACTTTAACTACAGCATTATATTAACAGTTCCAAGTGTAATTGACTCAATCACCTATGTTGAGGGCAATGTCATTACCAATCAATCAATCAACTTTATTGCATTTTTACATCCAATTTACAAGGATCGCGCTGCAAACATCAAACAAAAATTGATACTATATAATGGACAGCAAAAACTACATACTTATGCATTCTGCAAGCCTGCCTTCCTCAGTTCAAATGACTTTTTAATAAAGAGGCTTATTTCCTGCAAAAGCTGTGGGTCATTAGGTGACAATAATAATATTAAATTTTGTAGATCAGGCAATAATGGGTTAATTTTATTTTTTTGGAGAAACGAAGTCCTGATATTTAAATTTATTTTGCATTTAAATATAAAATGTACTTCATCTTCTACAGTATTGCAGAATTAACATAGTCGGGATTGTCGAGGAATCTTTTTAGATCTACCAGCCTCAATTTCTAAATTGTGGTTGCTTAGTCTCAGCTTTGCCATCAATTTTCTATATTCAAAGTTGGGTAACGATAGGTAGTGTTCCTCTGCATACTTTTTTTTTAATTTTACTGTATAGAAATAACTTACTATTTTCGTCCAAACTATGCTTTTTTCAAAAAAGTAAGACTCAAATTTAGCATGTATCGACTTTTTAAACAATAGTTTCATTTTCCTTTTCTTTTTTGCAAAGAATGGGTCGTGATGAAAGTCATAGTTAATATTATTATTCTTTTTTATTTGGGAAACATATGTAAACCATCTACATATCCCATTTTCGTGGAGTTGTTTATTTACTTTTAACGACTCCTTTACAAGTACATTTATATCATTTTCTGTAATCCTTGCCAAATAGCACAATGCTTGAGTATTCACAAAACAGTCCATGGTATACTGACCCAGTTCTGCCCTCGATGGAACATTAACAGCGTATTTTCCAACTCCCAACGCCATTTTGCAGAATTTGAGGTTGATTTGTTCAATAGGTGTTTTATCAAGTAGAGAAAATGTCTGAAGATGTATGGTTTAAATCTGCTCTTTTGCTTGCATTTACAATCTTTTGATAGTGGTCTGCATACCATATTTCAGAGTTGTATGTTAATATTGGTCTTATTAAGGAATTATATAACTTCTTCCATAGCCAAATTGGCATATCAGCTATTTTATTTAGATATTGCCTAATTGCAAATAGAACTTTCTTACTTTTTGCACAAAGTTCTTTAACTGCTAACGTGAATTTACCGTTGTTACAAAGCGTTGTGCCTAAGTATTTATATTCGGCAACTTGTTCAATTTCCTTATTATTAAATAAAAACGGGTTTACTTTCTTGCTAGTTGTTTGGACACCGCGTCTAGATTGAAAAGTCATTGCTTTAGTTTTATTAGTATAAGCTGAGAGCTGCCATTTAGTGCAATACTTTTCAAGGTCATTTAGAGATTTCTGAAGACCCTCAGGGGATTCTGATAAAATCAGTAAATCATCTGCAAATGATAAGCTACCGACATTGATATCTCCCAATTTTAGCGGATTGTTACTTAGTATATTTGACAAGTCGTTTATGTACATGTTAAACAGCGTAGGACTTAAACTATCGCCTTGTTTAACACCCCTAACGATATCAAAATATTCAGTGGTAAATTTTTTAAATTTTAACGAGGATTGGGTTTTAGTATACACGTCATTTACTACATTAAACAAGTTTCCCCCCACATTATTTTGAGCAAGTTTATACATTAAACCGTCTCTCCATACACTATCAAATGCTTTGTTAAAATCAACGAAACAGGCTTACACTTTATTTTTGGATTGTTCATATTTAGTCAGTAAGGTTTTTAGAACAAAAAGAGTATCAGTTGTTCTACTATGTCTTCGAAAACCGAATTGATCTGGACTAATTGTTTGTTGCATAAAAGTAGTAAGTCTTCTATTTAAAATGCCGTTTAATACTTTCGCCAAGCTACTTTGGAGGGAAATGCCTCGATAGTTGTTTAGCAAATCGGATTCTCCTGACTTTTAAAGAGGGAGTAAAAAAGATTTATTCCAAGAACTTGGGTAGCAACCCGTTTTCATGATAGCGTTAAAATAATTTGCTAAAAGTGGTAACATTACATTTAAAGAATATTTAATAATTTCATTGCTGATATAATCTGGGCCAACTGATTTGCCAGTCCGTAGTAGTTTAATAACTTCTTTTATTTCTCTTATAGTTATAGCACCATTTGTTATATTATTGTGCTGAAGTTGCTGTTTTAATTGACTTAGTTTCAGTTCAATTCCTTTTTTGAATGTTGTATCATTGCACACATTTTGGTTTCCCAAGTTTTTAAAATGTGTAACGAACTCTTGCCAATTCGGAGGATCTTCAAGATCATCCATGCTCTTTGGTTTAAGTGATTTTAACACATGCCACAGTTCCTTCGAGTCGTTATTCGGGATTTCATCAATTTTGTTCCATAAAGTTTGCTTTAATGTTTTCTTTTTCCGTCTTTTCATTTTTTTAAGTAGTTTAGCAAAATATAGAAACTTCAGTCTTAGTTGAGAATCATATTTTGATTGTTTCAATCTAGTTCCCAGATTTTTGACAGTTTTCCGAAGGTCAAAGAATTCTTAATCTGTCCAAAGTGCCTTTTTAATTCGTTTTGGTCTATATCCCTTTCTTTCTATAAGATACGTACATTTATCTTGTATTTTATCATACATGCTTGTAATAAGCGACGTGGCGTTCTCAATCCCTACAGAACTAGGGGGAATGTTCATGGTTTGGAGTTCTAGTATGTCATTTTTTATAGTATTGTCTTCCAACACGTTAATTAACTTATTATTGGAGTCTTTTTGCCAATGATACAACTTTATGATTGATTAATTGAATTTAAATTCATATTTTGCTCATTCTTAATATCGATGTTAATCATATCTAGAATTATTTACTACCTAAAAATAAGAACGCAAGCAGTTGTTATTGTACAGGAAAAAGGAACAAAATGAAAAAGAAGTATTCATTAGTATGCGAAACAATATGAAATACAATGTAATAATTGTCATGTACTCCACTGTATACTTACATGTGAACAATCAAAAATAAAATATGATAAAAAAAACCAACACTTTATGTTGTTAGTTTCCACATTCTCGACCGATTTCACATAGCTATCAGATATTTTACATGCTAGTATAGTAACTGTTTGCACATCATCGGATAAGTATGTTGGCTCCTGCACAATAAAATAGTCAACTGAGGAAAGCAGACTTTCACTTGTCAAGACATAATCTACCACACTACATCCATTATGTTTTATACAAGTGAAATTTCCAAGTAGATCACCTAAGAATCTACCATTTAAGATCCTTAGTCTTGTAGAGACACATAAATCTAGTCATTGACGACCTTGTACATTGGTGATCTTATCTAGAGAGTTTCTATTTTTCGTGTCACGGTCAATAGTATACATGGGCATGCAGCAATGGTGATATATGTGCCGATATACATCATCATTTTCTTGAAAATCATGTAAACATCCAGTTCTTGAATTAAAATCGCCCGCAAGAATGACTTCACCGACCACGTTATAATTTGATATTTCGTTCTCAATCTCCGAAAAATCATCTTCATAGTAAGGGGATGAAACAGGTGGCACATAAACGGCACATATATAGAGTTCAAGTTCAAGTTCAATTTGTTTATTTAAGTGTCACATATCACAATTACATTTATGTTCATTAATACATATAAAATACTTGTACAAAATATAAATCAATTCCATTGGTACATATAAAATACTTGCAGTTGGCTGTTTCCTAGAACTTAAAATAGTTTGTTTAACATAAAAACCCCACTTGTAATAGGGATCAATATCGACATTAGATTATTGTGAGACTCCCCTTCTTATTATTATTAACATGTAGGTTGCAGTGACTCAAAGTGCGCTACCTTAGGGTTGGGGAGAGCCCTACCAGCGAAGACAGGTCGCTCTGCACCACTGCAATCATACGATGTAACTTTAATATATATATATATATATATTTATCAGTTTAAAAAAAGGAATAACAGGCTAAAAGTAATTGAGAAATCGATTGGCTCCAAGCGGTTGCGGAGAGCTCTGCCGGCGAGGGCTTCTCGAGGTCCCTTCTTAAGGTTACATTTAATAGCATTAAAATCGCCTACTATGTAAATATTTCCTAACTTTTGATACGTAAAGACGTTTTCAAGTAAATTACTGAAAAAAGACTCTGCATCTGAAGCTCTTGTTGAATCCTTTGGGCGGTAGGTAGCATATACATAAAACAAATACTTCTTTATCATTATTAAATTTTAGCCACAGCGAGTCTTCGCACGAATCATCCAGTATAACACATTTATATTTATGGTAAAATGAATTTCTTATAAATACACAAAGACCTCCAGAGCCTCGTCTAGCGTTAGTACTGATTTTTCTATTACTAAATATACATTTAAAACCTTCAATATTAAAATGGTTGTTTTCTCTCCAAAAAGTTTCAGCACAGCTGAATATATCGAAATTATCATAGTTTACAATTGTTTCCCTTAAAATAGAGTTTTGGGTACCTCTGGCATCCTGCCTTAACGCCCAGCCTCCCACATTGAGGAAACCGATGTGGGCCTCCGGGGATTCCTGTACTTCCTATCTTCGATAGGCCTAGTTGTTGCTGAAATGTCGGCGTGTGTCAAATCTGTCACGCGAGTCGTATGCATGTGTGCCTTGTCCCCGATACCTTGTATTGTATGAGGCATTATCACGTGACCTGTTGACATGCCCAATGTCATTGTCGTCACGCGTATGTAACCTTGGAATACTCCGTACCGCGTCACTGTACATGTATGTGTTATGTCCGCGAGTACTAGAGTGCATGTCCCTAACACGCATGTCATTCGCTTCTCTGTTGTTGTTGTTGTTAGGTTGCCTATCAGTAGAGGACCATTCGTTTGAGCGATTAGCCTCACGTGACTGATAGTTCCCACGGTTCGAGGAGATTCTCCTTGCTGATTGGTCAGACCGGTAGGTGTCGCGCGACCCTGACCTTCTTCGGTATGCCGTAGTACTACGGTCTGACCTATAAGCCCGCTGGCGATTTTCCTTTTCACGAGACGGCCTGTGTGTGTGTCGACTTGCATTGTCAGTGAACGTACGTGTGTGTACGCGCTCTCGTCTGACTATACGGTGACCAGAAACACGAAAATCATTTTCCTTACCAAGCTCCTTCAACACGGTGCTCAAAGAACGTTCTGTTTCTAATTCTGCTTTTGTTTTGTCATTATCTATGTACACATCCTCGTACTTTCGATTTTTTCTCAGTTGATTTTTTGCCTTCATTATTTTTCGTTTATTTTCACCAGTGTCTAAGGAGGCGATGACAATGCCCGGGTATTTTCCTTTTGACGGTTTCCTTTGAGCGCGGATGACTTGTATGTCAGCCAGATGTAAGCCATCGTAGATCAAATGTCCGCGTGTTCACCACTTTCTCCTTTTGACTCGTCGAGGTTTTTTATACAGATGTTTAGTTGACGACTATCTACCCGGGACTCGTTTGACATGCTATTTGACATGCTATTTTGAACAATTTGTTTTAGGCCAGACATTTTCAGACAAAGGTAGATATCTTTATTTCTTCCAAAATATATCTTATCAAGTTTTATCCACACCCTGTTACTTGAGCAGGAACCATTTTTTAAGTATGATATCCCTTTTGATAGGGCTTTCTTGATATATATGATAATGCCTCCACTATTTCTTTTAGATTTTTCTTTTCTATTTTCTATTTTTTTAAAATGTTTTAAAACCCTCCACTTTGGAGTCTGAAGTGACCACTCGATATTGATAGTCGTCCTCGTGCGCGTGGTGAACGTACAGCGTGTACATTATCTGCCGGGACCGAGCTAGCTTCTAGGCCCGAAAGTGTTTTTATGGTCCTATAACAATAAAAAAAAGAATAATAAAAAGATCGGGCCTAGAAGCTACGGTTCCCGCAGCCACGTGTACATAATACAACATATGTGTACGTAACTTTCCATTGCTATTTTCGGAAGTAAACAGAAGTATAGGGGGTTAATACATTGTTGAAATTAATGCATTCCGATACGTCACGTGGGCTGGATTTTGTGTTTTTCACGTGTTTGTGTTCATTTAATTACGTTTACTTTGATGACAAGTGTAAACAATACCTAGAAATACGATAGTAAATTCAGTTTTGACACAGGATAGCGTTCGATATACGGCAATTTTGCCATAATATTTTCAACTGCACTCGATAAGGCTGGTAATAATGGTAATCACAGGACGGGTGCGATAAATTTACATGATCTACATGTCATAATAGGTAAATTATTTCCCTGATTGTATTTCTTGAGCTATGTCTTCCTTAATCAATGAAAAATAATCATTATAGACGATGATGGATATTCAGAGATTTCAAGTGTTTTTTCTCCTGCCCACACAACTCCAACAACCCAGGTGGAGAATATATTGGTCTGAGGTGGATGTTGCGGTGTGCTGTACATAGCAATCTAGTGAGGTGACACTATAAATGATGCCGTTGGAAGCACGGCCCCACTACAAACAGTACACATTACATCTCCAGCAAACACGCAAGCACACACACATAGGAGATATTAGGCATGTGTCATATGACTAGTAGTAAGTTCCTCTGAACTTGTATTACACAATGTATATGTATTAATTGTATATAATTGCTAATTGTATTAATTGTATATATATGTACTGTAAAGCAGTTTAGAGTACCTAATGTTAGCTTGATAGGGCGCTATATCAAATGCTGTATATTTTTATTATTTCTAAGATAGCTTGTAATTATAGTTTTAGTGCGTTCTCTCTCTATAGTTATAGCGCGTTCTCTCTCTATAGTTATAGCGCGCGTTCTCTCTCTATAGTTATAGCGCGCTCTCTCTCTAGTTATAGCGCGTTCTCTCTCTCTAGTTATAGCGCGTTCTCTCTCTCTAGTTATAGCGCGTTCTCTCTCTCTAGTTATAGCGCGTTCTCTCTCTCTAGTTATAGCGCGTTCTCTCTCTCTAGTTATAGCGCGTTCTCTCTCTCTAGTTATAGCGCGTTCTCTCTCTCTAGTTATAGCGCGTTCTCTCTCTCTAGTTATAGCGCGTTCTCTCTCTCTAGTTATAGCGCGTTCTCTCTCTCTAGTTATAGCGCGTTCTCTCTCTCTAGTTATAGCGCGTTCTCTCTCTCTAGTTATAGCGCGTTCTCTCTCTATAGTTATAGCGCGTTCTCTCTCTCTAGTTATAGCGCGTTCTCTCTCTATAGTTATAGCGCGTTCTCTCTCTATAGTTATAATGCGTTCTCTCTCTATAATTATAGCGCGTTCTCGGTATTTTTATTATACAAATTGCTGGTCATATGCTATTACTTGTGTAACAGTCATGTTTCTAGTCTCTCCCGATTCAGATTTGTGGAACTATACATAGAAGGAATACAACAGTTAACAAACAACCAAAGCACGGGTAGTGATGAACAGCAAACACAATCTCAAAATATCACACACTTAATTACGTTATATACTGAACCCCCCTCTCTTCCCCCTTCTCCCCCATCTCTCTTTATCCCCCCTACTCTTCGTGGTTTTTATCATCTAGATATCTTAACCTAAGTTTTGTACTCTAGACGTACGTCTGATCCTAAGCTTCGTACATTAGACGTCTGATCCTAAGTTTCGTACTCTAGACATCTGATCCTAAGATTCGTTATCTAGATATATCTGATCCTAAGTTTCGTACTCTAAATATCTGAATCTAAATTTCGTATATTAGACGTCTGATCCTAAGCTTAGTACTCAAGATATCTGATCCCAAGTTTCATAATCTAGATATCTGATCCTTAGTTTCGTATTCTAGATATCTGATCCTTAGTTTCGTATTCTAGATATCTGATTCTAAGCTTCGAACTCTAGATGTCTGATCATAAGTTTCGTAATCTAGATGTCTGATCGTAAGTTTTGTACTCTAGATATCGAATCCTAAATTTCGTACTCTAAATGTCTGATTCTAAAATTCGAACTCTAGATATCTAATCCCAAGTTTTGTATTCAATATATCTATTTTTAATTTTCGTTTACTAGACGTCTTATCCTAAATTTCGTACCGGAGATATCTGATCCTTAGTTTTGTACTCTAGTTATCTAATCCAAAATTTCGTACTCTAAATGTCTGATCCTAAATTTCGTACTCTTGATATCTGATCCCAAGATTTGTATTCTAGATGTCTGATACTAAGTCTCTAACTCTAGATATCTAATCCTAATTTTCGTACTCTATATGTTTGATTCTAAGTTTCGTACTGTAGATATCTTATCCTAAGTTTCGTACACTACACGTCTGATACTAAGTTTCGTACGAGTCGTAATGTTTTAAGAAATTTTATGGGTCGTTCAAGTCATTCTTAATTTTCTGGAGAAATTAGCAGACGCTATTGTAGTCATTTTGTTAGATATTAAACCATTCTGACAACGCTGAACAATTCTGTAAACCAATAGTGGACATGTGTGCTTCCTTCTTTCAATGAAATAGCCTATAAACGGACAATACACTGCTGACGACAATAGAAGTACATGTATACTATGTACTAGGAGTTTACGTGTATAACACACTATCTTCCTATCTCGGGGTTCCGTTTCCTGTTCGGCTATTATAAGTGACCTGACTTAAGGCTCTCTTGACAAGGGTTCCTATCATCTCTATCACTGTACAAGCCAAACACTTTCACCCACTCTTACACACTTGATAAATTTGACGCCTGCTCAAGTTCATTGTACCCAGATACCCGGCATGTATAAATTCACTAGATAGAGGA